TGGTGAAATCGGAGCTTTGGGATCCTTTCGGGGCGTCTTGCAGAAAAGACCGAAGCCACACAGGCCGTGAACGCTCCGCGCACACGATTCCCGTCCCGTTACGGCATGTTCTGCAACAGGCGCACGGCAGCTTCTGCCGGCCGAGAGCGGCGCAGCCGGCGGCGGACGGCTCGATAATGTCACCGGTCTGGGTACTTGAACAGCAACGGGCCACCGTGTTCGATCTCAGACTCGACCTGTCCCGGCACCTGCAACGTCCAGCCGCACTCCTGCCGCGCCGCGATGGTTCTCCTGTCGCTGTGTCTGCTGCTGTCGGCAGTGCTGGCGCTGGGTACGGCGCTCTACTATGTTTCCTGTATTACGGGGGCGCACCTGTTACAGTGCCGCATTTTCGAGCCGTCCGCTGCCGATTGTTGGGGGCTCGGCCGGCAGAAGCTGCCGTGCGCCTGTTGCCATAGCTGCAGTAAAGGGCCGGGCGCCGTTTGTGGAGGCCCGTGGGGCGTTCACGGCAGGTGTGGCCTCGGCCTGCGCTGCAAGACGCCTCTAAGGAACCCCAGAGCGCCGATTTATCTAGCCCTCGACCCCCATGAGGCCGGATCTGCGTCAGAATCGGCGGCCCCGGCTGATGGGTAGGTAAAGCCAGCATATTTGGCAATGAGTAGCACCGCCCATTCAATGAGTAAGTTGCAAAAGCACGGTTTATGTAGTGTCTCCCTATTGTTTGCTGGATCTCTCCTGCCACCGTACCTAATTGTATCGGCTTTTGCCATCACCCCGCTGTGGGTGTCCAATGAATTTCCTGAAGCCAGGAAAGGTCCCTAATTTAGAGCTATCCCAAACAAATGCACTCTTTTACTTTTTTGTGTTTATTTTGCATGAGTACGAGAAGTGAGGCGGTCCGGCGGATTTCATACAGTACAGGCATGTGTTGTCTTGGCTCATATCTATTGCTGCATCGATGAGGCTCACAGGCCTACCGGCTCCTGTAGAGGTTAGCGGCGACCTCTGTCCGCCAGCTACGGCAGCGCCACCTAATGCGCCCGAGGTCTGTACGGCGAGTCGAGTGTTTCCAGTCAGATCGCACAGGATCGGTACTCGGGACACTCAGCCTAGCAGGGATACATAGAGGGCTCTGTGCTCTCCGTGCTCTGGCCTGCTCGTCAAACATGAATGCACTTGTTAGAGATAGAGTTCTTTGCGAAAGTCAATTTTCACGATAACCGTTTCTCTAATGTAGCAAGAAACGTTCGCCTTTACTGACCATTGTGAATCATTCAATGACACAAGGTGGAACAGACGTCGCGTTTGGTCCTTTACTAAATACCTGAGAGCTTTTTATGATGGAAACAAGCAAGAGCGTAAAAAATAATGGCGGAAATACTTCGGTCATTTTTAAGGTCAGGTCAAAGGTCAGGTTACCAGAGGTAATCAAAGATCAATTTTTGTCCATTTCAACAACTTTTAAAACTGCCAACGGCTAACTCGGGAACCAATAGAGCTACAGCGCCGTGGAAAAGCGCATTCGATATCCCTTTTACAGACCTTTCTGAGTACTGTTCTCATATTTGACCTCAGATCAACGGTTTAGTCCCCAGAGGGCACAAACTCTAAAAATAGCACTTTTCACGAAAAAATGTTTTTCGGTAATAACTTTTGGCTCAAGAAAGCCACGCCACGACATTACTTTTGCCGGCATCGTGTTCCTCTCGTCGAGACGCGTCAAATAAGTTGTGAGTTGACCTTGAAAGGTTATTTTGAAAATTTGACCTCAGGTCAAGGTCATGACTGGACCGGAAAGGGTCATGTTGTATATCAGACGATCCATATCTTTGAGTTGGACACATCTGACGCGTTTTCACTGCTCTAGCACGTCTCTGTCAAGTCATGGTAAAAAAACTGCTGGTGACCTTTCATGACTCGAGATGACCTCAAGGGCACACAAAGGGGTCACAGGTGAAATTTTCCAATTCAGTGTGTCATGTTTAATATGAACAGATGTTTGAGAAGGTTTAGAACGACATCCGTCCAAACGAGGAGCAATTTAATTTTCTCCCATTGACTTATAATGGAGAGGTCGCAAAATTTACCTAACCTTAGGTCAGACATATCGAGAATCCGAGTGTAGCTACAGCGAGTCTTTGAACTTTTTCTGAGGTAAGGTCATTTGACGTGACCTGGTGATCTGACCTTGAACGACCCGGGTCTGAAATTCTCACATGTGCGGAAAAGATGTATGAACAGGTTAACAAAAACGTAATGCCAATTGCCAATTGAGATATTCGCGAAAAACCTGGGGGGGGGGGGGCGTGAAAACGTCCCCCCCCCCAGCACGGCGCGGATTAAATCTTGAAAACAGAACAGCTAAAATGAATGAGTATTGCCGCGCTGAAACCCTCTACCATGCAGATTGCAGATAGTTCGTTTACGTATAGGTATGCTGATTAGTAACTAAAACGCAACGCATACTTTAAACAGATGTTATCTAACAAAACCAGGTAAACAGAGGAAGTACACGTCTTTTTTTTTCTAACTAATCTACGAAATAGTCCGCCGCCCATGAACAGACGACCAGGAGTGTCCACCCACGGTCCCGCACGACCATAGAACCATACGTTAACACCAAAAACAAAAATATGCAAGTCGTGACACTCCCTGCTAAGAAAAGGAAAATAACAAAAAGAAGCGAAAAAACCTGTGCAGCCAAATACAGATGCAAGTAGTGTTATGAGTCATGCATACAAGGGGCGGAAAGAAATCAAAGCTAAAAATAGCTTTGACTAGACACTACGTTTTTTTTTGTTTTTTTTTTCTTCAGTACCTATACATTCATACCTTGGTTAGTTACACATTCGCACAGGGAGTTGGAACAATCACACAAGGACATGGGTATAAGCCGGGTCTTAACGGCAATTGTCAAGGCTATGCATATGACGACCTTGAAGCGAGCACCCCATGGGGCCACTGCCCTCTGTCAGTAAAACCTGCCGATAATCTGCCTCCTGGCCGCCGGCCGATGCGTCTGTGGGCGGCCGCAGGTCCGGCTCGGGGTACGATAACCACGTCTGGCGCGGTCGCCGCCCAGCCCCCAGTACCCCTCGGCCACTCCAAAACCGACGCTCGTTTGGCACAGGCCTGCGAGAGGCGGCGCCGGCGCCGGCGACCCGCCCATGGCCAAGGCCACGCCACGGAGGCGGGGCCGGGCGCGACCGGCCGTGCCGCGCAGTGCCTCCCATTCATGTCTGCAAAGATGGTATGGCGCCCATAGAGGAAGAGAATTTATAGGGCTGTTGGCGTCACCGGTTATGGCCTAAACTAATTATTTTCTTAAGTGGTTTGCACAAAGAAAATTTGATGTTATGGATGACTGATACGCAAAGTATTGGTTTCGATCGATTCATTTCATTATCAGTTTATACCCGAGTGTTACGGATTATCACAGAAAGTGATGTGGTGATGCCACACTGTTTGTAACGATCTGCTTTGATAATCTTATTGGGATGTAGGCAAGCAGGTATCTGTAGGTTTCCTCGATTGATAATAAAATGGGCTTTGAAAGTTATGAGCATTACTAGTTGTAAAACATCACGCAATAACTTATTTATGCTGGATCACTCTACTCGCCCACTTCTTTATCGATTGAGCAAACAAAAAGTGACCAATGTCGTCTTCATGGGGAATCAAGTTGCCGTTGTGAAATGGGCATGACCTACGTTCAAAATTGTAAGCAATATTGAAGTGAAAGAGGAATACCACTTATTTGAAGGTGTGGTTACTGGCTATGCTAACTCCTGGATGTTGCATAAGTAAGTCGCCAATGACCGTTCAAGATATAACTAGTTCTTATAAACAGGCGGTACGTTATACGGTCACCATAGCAGCACTCAGCTGCTTAATACTGAACAAGTGATCAAAAGAGCCATTACGGGTGCGTGCCATTTTGAGCCAATACGCATCACGTATGCAAAATGTCCCGTTTGTCATGTCAAATGCTAAATGTTATGCTTCACAAACATGTGTTGTTTTCGACAAAACCGTCAACCAGTACAGACGATCACTCGTTTTTTGTGATATCTTCTGCAAGGTTTTACAGCTCATGGGCTGCAGCTAAGACCATCCGGCATTCCGGCCACTGTCTACATGCTGAGTCGTCGCTACATCTACCTCGGCGTATGTGTCTGCTTCAGCGAGGGGTCGGGGTCGGTGTCGACTGTCGGGGGTCGGGGTCGACAGAGCGTTGGCCGATAGCGTGACCGGGCGGCCCACGGAGGGCGGCGGCCCGCTCCACAGGGAGGACACCTGTCGACTGTTCGTCCGTCCGTCCGTCCGTCGGTCGTCTGTCGGGCGGCGGCGGGTGCGGTCGGCTTCCACACGAGGTCACCCCACCTCCGTGCCACCCAGACGACAACTGCTGTCCTTCCCAGCAGGCCGCGAGCGTGTGCTAATCAGCCTGCCGTCGGGCTGCAGCTCGGGCCGAGCCGCAGCTCAAGCTGTAGCGAGGGGAGCTGTAGCTGTATCTAGGCGAACTGCAGCACCCGGCACCTAGCGAAGGTCCTAGTCATGGCAGTAATTGCAATACCACATTTCTTTATAAATACGCCGCCACCCATTAATAGGTGACCAGGAGTGTCCCCCTCCCCCTCGAACCGAGCGACAAACAGAAACATTACGTTTAACGCCACGAAACAAAACTGAAAACTTACCTACAGCCCGAAGAGCACATGAATCACAAATGCATCATACAAACAAATTGAAACAAATAAGCCATGTTCACTAGGCTCAGCCATCAAATTTGCGCAGTAGCGTGGCTATACCGAAGAACAACATAGATGACGCATACTTTGGACAGCTCACTTGCTGCATCACCCTTTCTGAAGTGAGAGCTTCCTATATGTACTACGAGCAGCACCTATAGCATCGTCATACAAATTCCGATGCCTGATGCCTCTGGTTGCATCAGGAGCGCGAGACCGCTGGCGTGACTCTGATGGCATATCAACATCACATCGGCTGGCTACTGAATGTCGCTCGCCGGTAAGCGCTATGACGCTGTCGTTGCACGTTCAGGGAAACCACTGACACATTGCCACCGTACTGGCCGGTCCCAGAATAGAACACCAAACGGGCGATGTGACGCAGTAGACTTGCAGTGATTCACATTATCCCAATGCGCTCCAAGTGATTAATCTTGTGACGTCATCGATAGCAGACGTCATTGCGTGGAGCGGCACTCCAGCCCGTGTTCGGAGTTCGGATACGGCTCACACTGCGGCAGTTTGCACAATATCAGCTTTGCATGCTGGTGGTGTGGTGCGTTTGTAGCGCATGAAGCATCGGTCGTAACACGTGAGTGTGTGGGCACTGAGTAATTCACTTGTAATTCAGCGCAGGCTGCAGTCGTTGAATTGGGTGAAGCCGATGAGGAAAAATATAGCTGATTTTGGATCACAAAGTATATCGTCTAACGTTAAAAAAGTATACCCTTGGAACCTGAGATCTAAATCACTTTCAGATACAACACACAGTTTCAAATCTCACCTATAAGTTATACGGCCGTCCGGGCAGTGATTCGGGTCTCAAACTGAAGCATACGACTATGCGTTATGATTTAACGGAGGGATCCAGGGCGGTCTACGATTTGTATGTAGACGCAATTCGAGAGATGCCAATGGCCAATTACCAATTACCATTGAATAAGTGCGCCGAGCATCCAAACACGTTCTGAGTTAGCTGCATGCGCATCTGGCGGTCAGGGGTCGGGTCGGTGGGGCTCGGGGGCGGCCTGTCGGACACCGTGCGACCTTGGCTCCCCGCGGCGCCCAATATCGGTCTGTTTTCGGCCGCCTCCCACTCGCGTCCCACGCGGCCGGCCCTTGGCGGCAGCCAGACGGGGCCACCTGCCGACACTGGGCCGCGGCTGGGCACTGACAATGACCTGGGGAGGACGGCCCCTGTCTGAGGACCGAGTGCAGATCGGGGAACGAAGAGCATTGACCTGAGGCCGGGACGACAGTGACCTGAAGAAGGGAAAAACCACGACCCGAGAAATGATGGCTACTTCCTAAATGTCAGAAAAACTGTACTCTCGGGTTAGAACAGAGATATACGGTCGGATTGAACGTGAGGCGAGAATGGGCGGGCTATGGTCCGAGCCGTTAGCTGTCATGGCGTGATGAAAGGTGTTGAGTTGAGCGAATCAGAACACTTCAGAACTGCGGCATGACGCCACAATATCTTTGGACCAAACGTCCAGATCCCAGATAATCATATGCCGAGGATTGACGAGGCAGGTAAGAAACCGTGAGAGATTGTGAGCGACAAACTGACATGACCGACATGGAGAAAATACGGAAGAAATGACCACGGCACCGATTTTAAAACTCGTTTAAACTTTGAGACAATGAGCGAGAGAGAACAAATATTTCATCAATTTACAGATGAGATCCGTGCATGTCGGAACATATATACATACATACATCATGATGGCAGTAGTAACTATAACTATAACTATTTTAGTAGGTATTCATGTTTTCCGTTGCCCAGGATCGTCCCTCTTTATTCGAATTTGACTTATGTAGTTTCGCACGGTACCTAGATCACTTTTCACTTAACCCGCGCACCGACGGGGGGGGGGGCGGATATCCGCCCCCCCCCCCTGAGGTTTTTCGCGAATAGCGGGAAAACCGCGGCGCGTAGCGCCGCGAAATTTGGTACGACTATTCCCTCATCAATTTTACACATGGTGTGCAAGTTTGAACCTCCTACCTTTTAAGGTCAGGTCACCAGGTCACTTTGAATGACCCAGCCTCAAGTCACTTTTTTGCAACTTTGTCACCGTGCCAGAGCTACAGTAGATGTCGGAGGCCTTTGAAAGTCGCAGGATGTTATAAGGTCATTAGTAGCTACAATTTGTATATCTCGGAATTTTGATATCGGTGACCTAAGGTCAGGTCAATTTCGCGACCTCCCCATTATAAGTCAATGGGGGAAAAATCAACTCCCTATTTTTACCACTAAAACGGGTCGGAATGCCCCCATATACCATACATGACTTCATATACGATCAACCTTCACTACCTTGAGGTCTGTTTTGCTGTTGGGCAGCTGTGAGGTCATGTGACGTCATCAAAGGTCACCAAAGGTTTTTGGCCAATAACTCCGTACAGGAACAAGATACAGCCGCGTGGATGGTCTCATTGTGTTCAGCCCGTCAAGACGCATCGAATGATATACATGATGACCTCGAGGTCACGTGACCTGAGGTCAACCTTTGACCTTGACCTTTCGAGGTCAACATATATATCATTCGATGCGGATTGACGAGAGGATCACGATGATGCCCTTAGTTTGCTCCTATCTTGACTAATTCGAAAGTTATTCGAGAAAAACTCTCTCCATATCTAGCGCCGCCATTTTGAATTTTTCGACCCCTGTGACGTCATCTTTGACCTGACCTGAAAACGACCTTAGTAAAAATTGTAGATCTTGACCGTGCGTGTCCGATGCCGTTTACCGCTTGTCGCTATCTTGCTTCGTTCTCGAGATCTCAGGGGGGCGGTCATCCGCCACCCCCCCCCCCCCCCCCCGGTCGGTGCGAAGTTGGCGCAGACCCCCGTCGGTGCGCGGGTTAATGGGATTTGAAAATAAAAAACAATGTTTTTGTCATTTGCAATAAGATAATACATGAATACTTTGTTGATTTCACAAGCTTATTTAGTTAAATCATTCTGACAGCTTAGGACAAAATCTGAATTCGGCTAACTGCTGAACTCAATACTCGCGATTTATCCAAGGAACATCAGATCCAAGGAACGCAGTCACGCAATGAACGTATCTATAAGCCATTTCCACGGAAACTCTGTCTGACTGATAATAGGTTGTAAAATGCAAAATGCAAATAAGGACAAACGTGGTAGTAACCCTTCCCTCAACATTAACTCACTTGTAGACTGTACCATCTTCTTCTGTTTAGTGAGCTTTCAAATTACAGATTGAAGATGGACGGAGGTATACATACTAATTGTAGGGTGATATAAGCCCTAGCACAATGAACTCGCATCCAGCCTAAGCCCTTTAATACATATCTCGCAATTATGATCTCAGTCATGAGACCAGCCCAGCAAGCCCTCAATTCCCCTCTCCACAACAAAGATGGTCGTACCGAAAAATGAGATGTGACCCTCGGTATCAGTACTCGAAAAGAGCCGTTGGGATGAATAACATTAACCCGCGACCCGTTGGGGGGGGAGGGGGCCCAAAGAGCTCCCCCTGTGGTTTTCGCAGATAACTCAGAAACGGCTGCGAATTTCGACTTTCAGTACCTCTCCGGACATTTATTTTACACAACTCCTGAAAAAATTAGGTCCCAGATCATCTCAGGTCACGAGCTATAGAGGCCAAACTGAGGTCATGTTCGGTGATTTTTCGTCGAAAAAGTTGTTCACGGAGAAAAATCGCAGAAAATCAGAGTTTCAACTTAGCGACTCAAAAACTGGACCGTAGGTATAAAAAAGCATGGCAAACAAAATGGCTATCTCGAAATTTCCAAAAATATAAAAAACTCTAGATGGAGGGATTTTCTACTCAAAATTTAGATTTCTTGGGATATTTTTGAAATTTAGGGAAATTTTCCAAAACCGGAATATATGTCAGAGAACCCCTCACACATGCAAAAAATTTGCAAAATATCTCTAACACTGCCAGAGATACCTATAGCCATTTGAATGACTAAAAAAGTAGCGACTGTTCTTATGACGTCACAATATTTTCGGTATTTGTGCTTGAAATCAGTCTGGAGTAGGTAATATTTATGATACTTATCAACCTCTTCCTGACTGAATATTATTCTTTACGTGAGTAAAGTCACTTTTACGTAAAATAATTGTTTTTCGTTGTAAACTGGTACAAATTGACCTTATTTGACCTTCCTGTGGCGTCATAATTCAAAAAAAAAAGGTCAAGGAGGTTTCTGTGGTTGCATATATATGACATGTCTTTCGAATGTTCACAATTTAACACGCCTTTCCTTACGATTCGCCAAAGTGTTTTCTGATTGGTCGAGGCTTACCTCGGTTGTGACGTCACAGGTCATCACCCACACAGGTGACTATCCACATGCCAGATTTATTATATACATAATATCAAGGCTTATTTTGGATACTTAGATTTCATTTTTTGACCGACTTCTCGTCATTGTAGGTACATTGGACTGATTTGACCTTGTTTGACCTCCCTGTGACGTCACAGGTCAAATATAAAGGTCATCAATATCCTATCTTGTCCACCTCGATCAGCTCTTTCGAATGCCGTTTGAATTTTTCTGATCCGGCTATTGGTTCCGGAGATACGACGGGGGGCCTTTGCCCCCCCCCCCCCCCCAACAGGACGTGGAACCTGCCAGACCTCAACGGCGCGCGGGTTAACATCACTTTTAAAAGTTGCCGGTCACGTGAAAACAAGCTAATGGTCATACTGATTGTTTTATTACACGCAGGATGGCAAAAGCAAACGCTTAAGACATCAAGACAACATGATTATTGTTATACTGAGACAACTCATGCACAGGGCCTAAGTTCACAGTGTTTTCGATTTTCAAGGGTATTCAAATACGTCTTTTTTCAAGGGTATTCATGTAACTAGTTATTCTGCGAGGTCAATCTTAAGACGACCACTGAAAAGGTTTGATTATTTGAACTTTTTGCATGCACTGCTTTGTACGTACCACTCAGCTTATAAATACGTTTTCGACCAAGGAAGGTGACGTAAGACTCGACTCGATTCCCAAGTTGTTGGGTGACAAATGGAATGTTTGAGCGCGTGCTGAGAACCATGCAGTGAACACTTCCTGATTGATCAAAGAGGCATGCAAGCCATGACGTTTGTCCAAAGACTCAGCTGGTCAAGATATGCGTCTTTGAATGGATGTCTCACCGGCTCCCCGAATTCCGTTGACCGTTGCGCTGGCCTGCAGGCTCCACCCGTTCCCCGAGGAGCCGGTGCGTGGCCCTGTCTGACGTCACTGTGACGTCACAGGTGTGAGTGCAGTAAGGTGCGCGGTCCGGACGGTGCCGAACCAGTGAGCGGACGGCCAGCGGAGAGAACGGACCAGAGTGACTGACAGACACCGGGGAGGGATCGAGTCGCACGCAGCCGGCACAGGTCAGTAGGGGAGAACGGACCAGAGTGACTGACGGACACCGGGGAGGGATCGAGTCACACGCCGCCGGCACAGGTCAGTGAGGAGAGTCGCCGGATGAAGCTAGGAGGAACTGATGGATTTGGTCGCACTGTCCGGACGGACAAAAGGCTTATTATAACTATAAGGAACCGGTGTTGCTTAGCCTTGGAAATCAGAGCATAATCCAAAGTGTGTTCATCGAACTTTTGACCAGAGGTAAGCAATTCTTGAAATTGAAGTAGTTTTAGTTTAGGTCGCAGTAAAAATAAACTTTTTTGCTGTCGGATAAGCGCTTAGATAGCACACACACAATTTACTGTGAATACACTTCGACGTGACTCCATGAGGCTGGACAGTGACCACTCGTTTATCATGCAGCCCAGTGTCGAAGCCATGAGGCTCCATCCGCGCGTCGCGGCAGTTTCCGTACGCTGTCCTCATGTTCGCCCCTGCAGTCCTCACGGGTTACGTTTGTGTGCGTTAGTGCAGTCTCCCTAGTTAGTAGGTTATGTTTATGTTCTAACCGTGCAGTCTCCGGTTATCCTCGTGTTCGCCCTTGCAGTCTCCATACGTTACGTTTGTGTGCCTAGGTGCAGTTTCCAATGGTTTGGCTTCTGTCGTAAGCGATCGGTCGGTCGCTCGTCTCTACTTTGATCTTTGCAATCTGAATCAAAATGTTGATTTCTCCCGGGCGTCTCCACTGACATCTGTTTATTCATGCAAGGGCTTTTTCACGTCAGAAGGCGTTGCCCAGTGTCAACGATAGTCTGGCAACAGCAACGGCATTGTTCATTACATTTGGGTGACATCCCGGTTACTTTCGGTCAGAGTCTGAGGATGGTGACATCCCAAGTGTGTTCCAAGTTAGTCTGAATATGGTGACATCCCGAATTCGTTGGCTGAAACGGCGACATCCTCTGGTCCATGTCTCAGTCAGAGTCTGAGGATGTTAAAATCCCGGATGGGTTTCCGTCGGAGTCTGAGGATGGATTATCGTTTGTGTTTCAGTCAGAGTCTGAGGATGGTGACACCCTGGTTTGTGTTTCAGTCAGAGTCTGAGGATGGTGACATCCCGGTTCGTCCTGGCACCACTGGTGCTGGCTGCCGCCGTCTCGGCGCAGACGTTCATCAACTACTCCGGTGGTAAGCGCGAAAAAAAGCATGACTGAGCTACAGCCTACTATCAGCAATCGCCCACATTGCAAGGAAGACGGTGCTTAGGAGGTGTCGTTCATTCACGGCTTCTGTTTCTCGCTACTAAAAATGCGGGCTTAAATACGCGACAGGTAGAGCTCGACTACCTTCGGGTCTTTCGCCACGGCTTCTCAGGGGCGGGTGGCTTGCATGTCTGTTTGGGTGGCTGTAGTCTGCATGTGGGATGGAGGTGGGAGGCTTCTAAGGAAATTGTGGTAAACACATCGGTAGGAAGGGACACCACACCCTAGTAACTGCGCTCAGTTTACATAACCTAATTAGAGTCAACTGAAAGCTTAACGTTTCAGACAGGTTTCTGGTTTTCTTTTCTACCAAACATGGTAATAAAATGTTCTGGACTAAGCACTTGTGCAATAATCAAGACTGCTTATCTTCATATTTTCATGACTAGCGCCATTGCAACTAATATCTCATAGTTATGCACACTTGTCGACAATACATTATCTATTATTTCTACTGTCAACTCTATGAACAAAGCTGTTTCCCCTGTCAGCTTACTTTTTTCAACAATGCACTGCAAAGTAGCTCTTATCCTAAAGCAACTCGTACAGCTGTAAATAAATACTTCTCAGCAGTCCGATTGCCGGATCTGTATAAATTCAGCATGCCTCAGTTCGTCTTCTGCACGCCGCCTGCCGTCCAGGCCGCCGCCCTGAGGCCGCGCCGCGCCGTGCCGTGTCTGTGTGTCCGTCCCTGACCAGCGAGTGTCTGTCTGTGTGCGTGTGCCGCCGGCCGCACGCAGTTCCCAGTCAGCTGGGTCTGTTGCTTCAAGGAGGGTACGCGCGCAGCGGCGTCGACCCGTGCCACCCGTCCCCGTGCGGCCCCAACACCGAGTGCAGCATCAACCACCGGGGCGTGGGCGTGTGCCGCTGCCTGCCCGGCTACTTCCCCAAGCCGGACACCGTCACCGGCTGCGGACCGCAGTGCACCAGGTGAGCGCCGGGCGTGGGGCCGGGAGGGACAAGGGAGACTAATGCCTGAAACAGACTCTTTCCGCAGTCAGGAAATCGCATGCGAGAGCCTATTCAAATACATGGAAGCACGCTCGCATCAATCGCACGCACCTCATGCGGGAAGGATTATAATGTATTTGAATAGGCTCTCGCATGCGATTTCCTGAACGCGGAAAGAGTCTGTTTCAGCCTTAAAGGTAGTGTGCCACCTTCCAATGATTTCCCAGTTTATTTTTCCTAGGATAAGAAGCTTCTGTTTTTACCTAATATCGCAAAAAAATCAAAAATGGGCCTGAAATAGTGCTTTTTTCGCCTAAAAGTTTATCGGTTTTTCGATATGTATAACAACTGTAGTGGGCTGAACTGCAAACAGGCGTCGGCAACAATCGCGAATGCGGCGCACATGTGACAATAAGCAAAGGTCATTATAGAGTTACGACGTACGGGAATGAGTTATCAGCTGTCTAATCGTAGACAACACAATGTCGAATTTAAACTGTAAGCCTGTATTGGTATTGTTTCTTTAATTTGGCTGTCGAACATTAATTTATGGTTTGAAATATTATTTTATGTAAAATAATTGATATGAAACAGCCGTCTCTAAAGTTATGACCCCATCTCACCACATGAAAGTGGCAGAAATGACAATGATCAGCTGACGCATTTTTCTTGGCCGAAGTCAGAGCCGACGCACCACCACCGCACCACAAAGTATGAGCAGAAGCCACCTGCGGTAGACTGCGCCCAAAGCCAGGGCCCCGGCAACGTGAGGTAGCCGAGTCGGGGCAGCGTGCGCCGACCCAAGCCGGGGCCGCGGCTTTGGGCGCGGTCTACCGCATCCCCGCGGGCAGCCCCGGGCTATCACATGACACCGGGAGGACGCGCGGCCCCGGCTTGGGTCAGCGCACGCTGCCCCGACTCGGCTACCTCACGTTACCGGGGCCCTGGCTTTGGGCGCGGTCTACCGCACCACCTAACAGGCGTGTTCGAAACCGCAGGAGATGATGATGAACGGGTTTATCGAAACTTGATTGGATGAGCCTATCGGTAATAGCGATTTCAGTGTGTGCATTTATTGTTCATAGTGGTGTGAAATGTGGTTGGGGTACGACCGACAGCCCGTCGGGGCGAATTTCGCACTGGGGTACTCAAAATTTGAAGAATTTAAGACGTTTCCATGAGTTTTGAAGGTATGGATAAGTTCTAAAAATCCGGTTCTCCTTATCTGGGCCATTAACTCCATACGGTCCAGGAAAGCTGGCACACTACCTTTAACCCGGCAGTTGCTGGGGTATTTCGCCAACCACCGTTTGCTGGGGGGGGGGGGGGGGGCGTTAAACGCCCCCAGCCGATAACTCGAGAACCAATAGGCGCAGCGAAACGCACGAGGCGGCAAACGAAAGAGCGCGACAAGACGCTTTAGATGAGTATTTTAAAGTTGAATTTTGAGGTCACAGGTCGGGTCAAGGTCAGGTCAAACACCTGAAATCGGGCTTTCAGTAGCATGGACTTCAGGACTTCGCAATGGGCGCCTCTCGTCATAAGCTCTGTCCAAACGGTGCACAATCCATCATATAAGGCCTACAAGAGTGTCAGCTCCATGTAGGGGTCAGTCAAGCATAGGTCAGGGTCAAGGTCAGGTCAACCGGGTAGGCACATATCCCCGAAAATCAAAACTGATATTCGCAGCCTGTGACACATGTTTTATAGGTAATTTGGGGCGTAGAACACGATGGTGACATTCATTTTATCATACGTGTACGTGTTTGGCTCAAAAAGTTCAATTTAAGAAATGCATGTATCATGGTCGTGAAGTAGTCACGAAAAATTGCCAAGATTCAGTTCAAGATTATGGAAAATGCGGAGCGATAATCAATAATCGAAGATAGCCATTTAATTGATCATGGTATTGGCAGTCTAATGGCGTTTACGGCATGTCTGTATGTCTATTCTGTGATTTTATATGATTTTTTGAACATATGCCGTTTTTGGTCGAAAACTCAGAAATCATGACGTCACTAAAACCTCGATATCTCAAAAATTTTCCGACCGATTTTTTTGAAACCTTGTCACAATAAACTTCGATCAATTCCCTACAGGTACCCAAAATTTGGCGCGCCTGCGGCGCGCCGTTTTTATGCTATGGCCCGGCGAAAAAAGTGGGGGCGTTTAACGCCCCCCCCCCCCCCCAGCAACTCGCGGGTTAAGAGCATGGGGCTGAGATGGTAATGGGAAACGCGAGGTAAGGGAAGGGAGACGAGAGTATGTAGGGAAAAGCTGAGCAAATCGGGGAGACCCAAGCACGGGTCAACTTACCTGAAATAAGCGAGATCCGAGCTGGAAAGGGCAGAGAGCTCCTGATGAGCAGCCCTCGGGAGATGGATTGGACAGTCGGAGCAGCAGGGGAGTACCTCACGCACGCGGGCAAGGCTCTCTGAGGGAGAAATGGAACTCGATTAGGACATATTAGGTGTGGTATCTGATTAAAGGCCGATTATGGACAATATCAAAACACCCTAAACTCAGCCGATGATCAACACCGTCGAAGCCTCATAATTTTACGCGCGCTGATTAACGTAATGATCAGTATAGACTGAAGATGCTGATTTTCGGAGATCTTTTAGACCCCAGAGAGCCACTCAGTTTGTCACAGCCCATCAATTATTCAGCTATTAACCCGCGCGGGGCTGGGGGGGTAAATTTTACCCCCCCTCGCGAATTTTTGCAATATCTCAAAAACGGCGGCGCGCAGCGCCGCCAAACTTTCAGTACCTTTTCTTACATCAATTTGACACGTTCCCTGAAAATTTGAGCGATATCCGTCGGAAAATTTTTGAGAAATTGACGTTTTAGTGACGTCATGTTCGCCATTTTCGCCTCAAAAACGGCAAAAGTTCAAACGCCGCTAACATCTTCATTTTTAAAGGAATCAAGACGTAACAAAAAAGGATATACGTAATTCTACTGTGTCTATCAAATGGCTATCTCGGTTTTTTGAAAATTTTGGATTTTGGCCCAAATTTTTCCAAAAAACTTACTTTTTTGGGAAAATAGCTATAAAATCCAAAATTTTGAGTGTATCGAAAAAGCGGAATATATGTCAGAGAAGTGGTCTATGTGTACCTACATACCAAGTTTTAGAAGAATCGGTTCAAAAATGTGGGAGTTATTCAAAATTGTATGACGTCACGACACACAAAAATTTTGAAAAATGACTTTTTTGGAAGTTCTAGACCTCGTACGGAAACAAAAATAGCACCATTCGACTCGCCGTGAAAAACTGCATCAGATAGACACCTTTTTAGGTCTTAGCAACCAACTTCAAAATTTGACCTCACTTGACCTGACCTTGACCTGACCTCGACCTGAAATTCATCCAGAGGTGGTCCATATCACTTATTGAGTGTGCCTATTGAATTCTATGCGTAAAATGACCCATAAAACATGTGTCGCACATGCCCTTTTCTATATTTTGTTTTTGGTGACCTGACCTGACCTGACCTGACCTTGACCTTGACCTCTGAATGATATTGTATGCAACGAATATTGTCTTGGTAGCCTAAGAACACATTTTGGGCGATCAGTCTCAGTCCATGACTCCATTCTTCGGCAACTACGGTGCAAGGCCGATACTGTAGGAACTTGCAATTTGTACCCTTGACCTGACCTTGACCTTGACCTCAAACTTAAAATTAAGTACATGTTTTTAGTTGTTCGTGATGAGATCTTTCGATTGGCGTTTGAATTTTCCAAATCGGACCATTAGTTCGGGAGATAACAGGGGGGGTAAAATTTACCCCCCCCCCCAGCCCCGCGCGTTCGGCTGGAGACCCCAGCCCCGCGCGGGTTAATACATGTTCTTTTGGCGATGCGGTGGCTGTTTTTCCATTATGTTTTGCCTCCGCCCGTTTGAGGGAGATAAGATGAGCTCTAATGGCCGGGGTGCCACCACACAAATTACACGTATCTGGAGGCTTGCGTGGCCTGTTCCATGTTTTATGGAGCGGCTGGTGCGTCTGCGGCCGGTCGCCCACGCCTGCCTTATGTCGAGGTCGGTGGATAGGAGCCGATGCCATGGAGGGCGGTTAGCAGCTCCCACGGACCGGGAAGATCGTCGATCGCCATCAGCTTCGCAAATCACACGAGCTGTCAGCAGCTGGAGACCAAACTATCATCACGGTTCTACTGGATCTCCATGGGGCTCATCACATTTTTAATTTGTCGTCGGTTTTATGAATAATATAGGTACCAAGTAACTTCAGTTATTCCCACAACAGCGTCATGAGTCCAAGATGCTACACTCCTGGTAAATAGCTCCCCGCATTCCATTGCAATACAAACCCAGTAAACATGCCGACGTCGGCCCGACGTCGGCCGACGTCGGGGTGACGTCGGCAACTCGGCATCGGCATGCCGACGTCGGCCCGACGTCGGTCCAACCTCGGCACGACGTCGGCTGGATGTCGGATATGCCCGCATGTTCCGACGTCCAGCCGAGGTCCAGCCGACGTCGGGCCGACGTCGGACCGAGATCAATTGCTGAGGTCCAGCCGACGTCGGGCCGACGTCGGGGCGACGTCGGACCGACATCGGCCGCTGTTTTGACCGTTAAAATAATATAAAATACATGTTTCATGTTTCATAAAGAGCTTCTGTATTCAAAATATCCTCAGGAAACTCAAATCTTCCTCCACGCCGCAACCCCCTGATCCGGACTGGACGGGAAACTTTATCCCATTTGGGATTGCCCGTAAGCCGAGCTCGCCCGTAGCCGGGTGCGGTGAGTGCTTGGGGGCTGCTCGGCCTATCCTTTGGTCAGGCTCAGCCCCGGCAACTCACCGGGGCCGGGCCCAGTTCATATAGAAAGGCCAGTCGGCAAGTGTCACTTTGCCAAAGTGCCACTTATCAAAGGGACACTTTGGGAAACGTTGGTGCAGCACTGGCGGATCCAGGGGGGGGGCATTAGGGGCATATGCCCCCCCGGACAGGAGCCTGGGGAGGGCATTCAATACAAGTATGCCCCCCCCGTTCAGACTTACACTTCTTACGCCTATAACGAGGAACTAAATAAAAATGGATTAGAAAGCCTTCCAAGTAACTACTTTTGTGATCAGAGTCGTTTTAGTAACCTCAATTTAGTTGCCATTGCTTTATTTTGTCTAAAAATATGTTGCTTCTTAGTTCTTACCACAGGGGAGTTATGCCGCTTCAATTCAACCCTTTTGACCGTATTGTCTAACGATGGCGCTCATATTGCGCAAACCAGGAATCGGCCGCCGCCTATGCTTGGGAATAGGGACGGTAAGAATATGATTTACCTGTAGGTATGGCCGCAGCCAGTGCAGCGTAACCGGGGGGGGGGGGGGGGCACAAGGGGCGCGTGCTGCCTCATTAGATGCATAGTGCCCTATAGGCCCGAGAGGCCCTGAATTGCCAATTGGCCGCTCAGGGTCCAAGCGTGCCTTATTTCGACTGAGATAAGACCCGCAGGACTCGTGAGAGCACCTCACGGAGTCACGGGCTCCTGAGTCGCCACACATCACACATCTCCATAAGGGCCCCACTCCGGCTTCTGAGGGCCCTGTGCTGGCCTCTGAGTGACCTTGCTGACCTATTAAGCGTCAGCTCTAATTAGGGTCCTGGCCCATACCCGCATGGAACGGCTCCACACCAGTGTCTCTGAGGGCCCATAACGGTGCCTGTGAGGGTCTCACACCGGCGCCTTTGAGGGCCCAACACCGCCAATCTGAGGGACTAACACCAATATTTCTTAAGGCCCTACATCGGCGGCGGCTCTGAGGGCCTCACACCGGCGCCTCTGAAGGTCTTACACAGGCGCATCTGACGGCTACCTACCTGCAACTCTGTGGGCCCCACGCTGGTGACTCTGAGGGCTCCCAAGTCCCAGTGACGCCTGAGAGTACCACACCGGTCTCCAGGATCCCACAGGGCTTCTGAAGGCCTCTGCTGGCCCTTGCTGGTCTCTTGAAGACCCCTTGCCCCATGCATGTGTCTCTGAGGAGTGAGGACTCCCACAACGATACCTTTGAAAGTCTTCACCGGCGACTGTGAGGGCACCACACAGACACGTCTGAGGGCCCTACACCGCCAACTCTGAGACACCAGTGTCTCCTGAGGCCCCACATCGGCGACTCTGAGGGTCCCACACCGGCGCCTCTGGGGCCCCACACCAGTGCCTCTGGCAGCCAGCCACCGGTAGCTCTGTAGGTCCTACAACGGTGACTCTGAAGGCCCCACCGGCGTCTGAGAGTACCATGCCGATCTCTAAGGACTCCACAAAGCTCCTGAAGATACTGCCGGCCCTCACTTGCCGGACTGTGAAGGTCCATTGTTGGCATTATACGGCCCGTTACCGGCCTCTGAAGGCCCTTTGTCGGTCTCTGAGAGGTCCAACTGGGTTATTAAGCATTCGCATTTCGCACCAACAGGCAACAACTCCAAGGGCCCCACACACAGCCATCTGTGAATGGTGCGGGTTTAGCGCCACACCAGTGTCTGAGGCACCACAACGGCGTCAATGTGAGGGCCTCACACCAGCACCTTAGAGGGCCCACACCGGCTCCTTTGTGGTTCCTGCACCAGTGCCTCTGAGGGCCCCACACCACTGCCTCTGGGGAACCCACACCGATACCTTTGATGGTCCCACGCCAGTACCTCTTAAGGCTCCACACCGGCGGCCCTGGCTCGGCTCTATACATAAGTCATTCTGAGGGCCCCACCGGCCCCACCAATTTCGTCGATTTCTGGCGCTGCCGGGGTATTTGTCCCAAAAGCCTCCTCCTCCTGGATCTGCCAATGGGGGTCAGGTTTCCTACCATTTGTTTTTTTTTTTAGAAAAAAAAACTCGTGTCAGGGCTATGACGAAAAATAAGTGGCCTAAATCCGATGAGAAAACAGGATTTGGGGTACCCTAGGTTTGGCTCCTTGACCTGGTATGCCCCCCCCGCGCTGAAACCCTGGATCCGCCAGTGTGGTGCAGGTGTGTAAGAGTGGCTATATGAATCCATTGTGGGGTCGCCCTTTCCAATAAGTGTCACGTAACAGCAATGGGACCAGGGACTCTATATGAACTGGACTCAGGGTGCTCGCCAAGAAGACCAATGTCTCCATCCTATGATCCTTCCGGCTCTGAAATGGTCTTGTCAGACCGAAAGGGCATAACGGAACAAAACAAACCATTTTCGTTAGCTGGCTGCGTGGTGTAGTGGTTAGCGCACTAACCTCGCGTTCGAATGACAATGGGTTCGAATCCCAACGCCGGCTGATGCTTTTGGCGTGTTGTCCCAGTAAACATGCCGACGTCGGCGACTGGGGGGCTCGAATCCCGCCGCCGGTTGATATTTTTGGCGCGTTGTCCCAATAAACATGCCGACGTCGGCCCCGTCGGTCCAACGACAAACGATCTCG